TTAGTCAACGATTCATTAGTCGAGCTAGGTTAGTCAACGATTCATTAGCCCAGCAAGATTAGTCGAGCTAGATTAGTCAACCGAACGGAGAGCAATTTTTATACAGAATCCTCCAGAATCCAGAATACAGAATACAGAATACTGTTTAAAATTTTTACGATCGGTCAAATTCTTCATATAAAAATTTATTTTTTTAAAGATAAAATTTTTAACAAAATAATTCATGTTAACAAAATGTTTAGAAAGATATGTTTGAATCCTTTGGGTCTTCGAAACATTCTTGATTTGATCAATTCCAAGTGTTATCAAATTAACTTTTGTATCTTTCTAGGGTTATGCAAGAACTAGAGAATTTATCACTTTGAAATCGATTCATTGTCCAAGATTGTTTGATGATCATGTTTTATTTGATCATGTTTTTATAACAAAAATTTTTTTGAAACTTCTCCAGTCTTAAATTTATTTTTCTTTGATTNAACAAAATGTTTAGAAAGATATGTTTGAATCCTTTGGGTCTTCGAAACATTCTTGATTTGATCAATTCCAAGTGTTATCAAATTAACTTTTGTATCTTTCTTGGGTTATGCAAGAACTAGAGAATTTATCACTTTGAAATCGATTCATTGTCCAAGATTGTTTGATGATCATGTTTTATTTGATCATGTTTTTATAATAAAAAATTTTTTGAAACTTCTCCAGTCTTAAATTTATTTTTCTTTGATTGATTATCAAAAAATTTAAAAAACAGACGGATGTTTCGATAATTTGGTTTAAACGATAGGTTTAAAAAAATGACCAAAATTTGGCGAAACCATCCACCATTTCACATCAGTATCTCCAATGACCATTGAAAATTCATGATATTGACCATCAATGACCAATATCAGCCCAACTTTTTATAATTTTTCATTTCTTAAGAATTTTGGCTTGATCATCAAGGTTCCAGTTTCGTAAATCCGATACCATTGCTGTGAAATGATAGAAAAATTAATTTATGGTGAAACCAGTTAAAAAATTACTCGTATCAAAATCAATAATTTGAATCGTTCAACATCAGTGATCATTCTCATGTCAGCAATATGCATCATTGTGCTAATTCAATAGGAAATAACTCAACCATGTTCCTAACTTGACCTGACCTATCCTGATTAAATTCTCACACACTTTGGTAAACATGGTCCAACTATTCTTGAATAGCACAATGAGACAAATCACCAACATAAAAATGATCTCGAAAAAAA